CGGCCACTACACTCCAGTCTGGGCGACAGAGTGAGACTCCAACTCAAAAAAAAAAAATATGATAAGTAAATGACCATAAAATGTTAAAAGATATACAAATAGGGTCTTTTCATTTATATAACATGGGATCATACAATGCTTATTAGTCTGTGACTTTATTAGTATTGCATTTATTTGATTATTTATGTATGTATGTATGTTGGAGTCTTGCTCTGACACCCAGGCTGGAGTGCAATGGCACGCTCATGGCCACTGCAGCCTTGACTTGCTGGGCTCAGGTGACCCTTCCACTTCATTCCAAGTAGCTGGAACTACTGGCACATGCTACCACACCTGGCTAATCTTTTGACTTTTTGTAGAGACAAGGTCTCACCAAGTTGCTCAGGCTGGTCTTGAACCCCTGAGATCAGGCAATCCTCTCACCTCAGCCTCCCATGGTGCTGGAATTACAGGTTTGAGCCACCACGACCAGCCGAGTATTGCTTTTAAACATTCAATCGGCTGAGTACAGTGGCTCAAGCCTATAATCCCAGTACTTTGTATCTACTTGTATCTTTTTATTTATTTTTATTACTCTCCCCAGAGGAAACTTAAAAGTGAGTTACAGCCAGGCAGGATGGCTCACGCCTGTGATCTCAATACTTTGGGAGGTAAAGGCGAGAGGATTGCTTGAGTTCAGGGGTTCAAGACCAGCCTGTGCAACTTGGCGAGACCTTGTCTCTACAATAAATCAAAAAATTAGTGGGGCATGGTGGCGTGTGCCAGTAGTTCCAGCTACTTGGAAGGTTGAGGCAGTAGGATCGCCTGAGCCCAGCAGGTTGAGGCTGCAGGCCACTGCACTCCAGCCTGGGCGACAGAGTGAGAATCCAACTAAAAAAAAACCAAACAAACAAAACTGAGTTACACAACCTGTTTCATTCCCTTTCTCACTAACTGCCAACAGACTTTCTTCCCTAAAGGCTAAACAGAAAACAGCCCTTTCAAAAGACTCCACCACTGATTTCAACCAACCACCTGACTGTTGCTCCTCCCTTTCGTAGTTTCAACAAAACAATGAAGTAGCATTTATTTCAGGTAAGAGACCACTGTCCATGGAGTGGTTCTGGCCAGTCTACGAAAGATGCACAAGGAGGGCTTGCATGTTTTCTGCTTTAACTCTTGACATCAGAAGGCTGAAATCTCCACCCTTGGATCAAGCTAACGCCGCCATTTTTTAAAAACTTGGGATCCATAGTGTCTTATGGAGAGAAGCTTGAAAATTGGTTGGAAAAAAAAAAAAAAAAAAAACCAACCAACAAACCAACAAGCAAAAAAACAAAAAAACCTGGGATCCATGAAGGGACATGAAGCCCAATCGCACATGTGTATGTTTTTCCTTTCGTAAATATTCATGACTCCTTCTATAGCTTATTAAATATGTATATTCAACCATCCTGCTCAGCATATATTCCCTGTTTCCTTTGCCCCTCCTTCCAAGCATCTATCCCTTGCTTCTGAATGGTTACCCTACAGGCTGAAAAATACTTTATGAGAAATAAATCTCTTCCTTCCAAATTTTATCAACCTTGTCATTCTTTAGTTGTCAGAGACAACCTTGACTACCATAACAAATTTTTAAATATTAAATAGGGGAAATTTAGTGCCTCACTTATTGGAGAATATATAATTTACTAAGTTACCTAAGTTTCATGTAGGGTAAAGAACTAGTAGAGAAAAATACTTCTACCCTACAACAGAAGCTCTTAAATTCTTTGTACCACCCATTCTTTTTAAAAATGGTTAAATCTAGCCCTGAGTTGTATCCCACATTTTTAAAATAAAAATTAAGGCCGAGTGCGGTGGCTCACGCCTATAATCCCAGCACTTTGGGAGGCTGAGGTGAAAGGACTGCCTGAGCCCATGGGTTCGAGACCAGCCTGGGCAACTTGGGGAGACCTCACCTCTACAATAAATCAAAAAATTAACCAGGTGTGGTGGCACGTGCCTGTAGTTTCAGCTACTTGGAAGGCTGAGGTGGAAGGATCCCCTGAATCTAGCAAGTCAAGGCTGTGGTGACCATGAGCAGCATGTCACTGCACTCCAGCCCAGGTGATAGAGTGAGGTTACAAGTAAAAAAAAAAATAAAAAATAAAAATAAAAAAAAGGTGTATACTGATTACATTAAAAATAACAAACAAAAAACGGTTGAAAGTTAAGGATCTTCAACCCAGAAATCTCCAGGCACACAATTTTGTCTATTTTACAAATTTAGGGTTCTTTAAAGTTCTTCAAGCCCAACCATGGATCCCAAGTTAAGCATCATTGGTTAAGCGCATCCTAGAGGCCGGACTCGGTGGCTTAGCCTGTAATCCCGTGCTTTGGGAGGCTGGGGTGAGTGAATTGTCTGACTCCGCTGGTTCGAGAACCGCCTGGGCAACTCGGCGAGACCTCATCTCTACAATAAATCAAGAAAGTAGCCAGGCGTGGTAGCGCGTGCCTGTAGTTCCAGCTACTTGGAAGGCTGAGGCGAAAGGATCGCCGGAGCCCAGCAGGTCGAGGCTGCGGTGGCCGGGAGCGGCCACTGCACTCCAGTCTGGGCGACTGAGTGAGACTCCAACTCAAAAAAAAAAAAAACCGGACACCCTAGAAATGAAAACAGCTATCTTCATTGTATGCACACCTAACTTGAATGGCTACTCCAGCTGGATTTGGATGTAGAAACTTCCCCTTCGTTGTTATTGTTACTGAGTATGTCTTCTACTTCCTCATTCCATCGCTAGGAATCATGGTGGCCCCACTGAAGTGATCTAATCCTCTTCTTCCCACACTGAATTCCAGATCCGCCCCTTGGCCTTGTTCTCATATAGGTCTGTGGTGAGTTCTGTGATGACTGGAACTGGATTGGGCAGGCAGGAAAGAAACGGGGGGAGGGAAGGGGAAGAAGGAATAAACAAGGGGGATCTCTATCTTGTCTTCACGTCTCACTTCCTCTTACAGCACAAAACATGCAAAAGAGCAGTTAGACAAATGGAAGAGAGAAGGCAAGAAGAGAAAACCTCCCTCTAAGTTAAAGGTTGACTTATCCACAACTGTATTCAAATGAGATAGACATCTTAGACAAATGTCTGATCATCATACCTTAACAAAGCATCTGAGAGTTGAACTGAAAGATACTCCAACATCAGCAAGACGCCAGCTGTCCTTGAGAGCGGCGCCAGCATACGTCAGCTCCAGATACCTCCTGCCTTGTTTATCTTCAGAGAGAGGAATGTGGAAATAATCCTTAAAAATCAATAGCATATTATGAAAACAGTACACTTCTACATCACTAAACCAGAAATGTAATCTCTTTTACATGTTTCCACTGAGCATTATAATTGTTTGGAACAAGGGGAAGAAGTTTGGTTTTTGTTTTGAGTCAGTCTCACTCTGTCACACAGACTGGAGTGCAATGACATGATCATGGCTCACCACAGCCTCAACCTCCTGGGCTCAGGGGATCTTTCCACTTCAACCTTTTGAGTAGCTGGAACTGCAGGTGCACACCACCATGCCTGGCTAATTTTTTGACTTTTTTGTGGAGACAAGTGCCATGCATGGCAGGCTGGGTATGGTATAGCTGGAGTTGTGGGGGATGAAAATACAATACTGAATTAACAAAGGTAGATTTATTTTTATTTTTTTGAGTTGGAGCTCTCACCCTGTCCTGGCACGCTCATGGCCACCACAGCCTTGACCTGCTGGGCTCAGGCTCACACTATGCTGCCCATGCTGATGTTGAACTCCTGGGCTCAGGCAATCCTCCTGCCTCAGCCTCCCAAAGTGCTGGGGTTGCAGGTGTGAATCACCCCTCTCGGCCTGAAGAAGTATTAAGCAGGGGTTCTTAACTTAGAGCCCTCCCAAAAAAGTTTATGGATAGAATTTAGATGGGAAAGAATGACATCATTTTATTAACTCTAAGTGAAATTGAGATTTCTTTCTTTCTTTCTTTCTTCCTTTCCTTCCTTCCTTCCTTCCTTCCTTCCTTACTTCCTTCCTTCCTTCCTTCCTTCCTTCCTCCCTCCCTCCCTTCCTTCCTTTCTGAGCTGGAGTCCCACTCTATTGTCCAGGCTGGAGTGTAGTGGCACACTCACAGCCACCGCAGCCTTGACCTGTTGTGTGCAGGAGATCCTTCCAAGTAGCTGGAACTACAGGCACACACTACCACGCCCGGCTAATTTTTGAGTTATTGTAGAGATGAGGTCTCTCCAAGTTGCCCAGGCTGGTCTCGAACCCCTGGGCTCAGACAGTACTCTCACCTCGGCCTCCCAAGGTGCTGGGATTATAAGCGTGAGCCACTGGGCCCGGCCGAGATTTCTTTCAATTATGAATGTAGGCAGCAAACTAAAGTAGCAATAGTCAGCTGTACCTGTGACTTTGTCGCCAATAGAAATCACAGATATTTTCATGTCACATTACAGTTGTTGCAAATATTTCAAAATACATGTAATGCATCAAATGAAGAGTACTTTGAAGGTGACTGAAGTTTACATATGTAAGAATAAATACACAATTTTCATTATTTTCATTTTTAAATTTAAGGACGTGGGGTACAATCCAGGATTGGATATACAAAGGTTTGTACAGGTAAATTTTGGGCCTCACTTTGGTCCCCACTTCGCCTGGTTTGAGATCAGGTGCCCTTGTTGATGAAGTACACCCCTCCTTCTTCCTCTGGCAGTTAACAATTTTTGATAAATAAATTCCAGGCTTTTTGGGCCCCCCCCCTTGTAAATGCATACAAGTAAAGACATTCCTAGAAGGAGTTCATAGACTTCACAGACTTCCAAAGGGCTTCATGACACTAAAGGTTAAAATCCCCTGTGTTAAAAGACTAGATTTCAGTGATCACTGTCATTTAACTATGAATTTCATGTAACTATGGTTCAGTAAATGCTCCTTAATAGATGAAAATGACCATCTCCAAGTTAAATATTTGATGGTCAGGAACTAAATATTTTGCTGAATGTTTAGAGTGAATATTTATAAGAAATTTATTATAAGAGGCTGGGTGCGGTGGCTCACACCTAGAATCCTAGCACTTTGGGAGATTGAGGTGAGAGGATTGCCTGAGCCCACGGTTCAAGACCAGTCTGAACAACTTGGCGAGACCTCATCTCTACAATAACTCAAAAAATTAGTCGAGCATGGTGTTGCCTGTAGTTCCAGCTACTTGGAAGGCTGAGGCAGAAGGATCACCTGAACCCAGCAGCTCAAGGCTGTGACTGTGAGTGTGCCACTGCACTCCAGCCTGAGCGACAAAGTGAGACTCTGACTAAAAAAAAAAAAAAAAAATTAAGTAATTTATAAGAAAGATACTGCACACAATTTGTTTCTTATTCTGGTTCTGTGATCCTAGGTAAGATGCACAACCTCTCTGAGCTTTAGTTTCCTCTGGATGCAAAATGAAGCCATAGCTCACAGTTCTCTAACATCCTTGCTGTCGCAGAATCCTTGGTTCTTTATAGTTGCTTGCTTACCATAATGTCTATCTGATGACTGGCATGCTCCATTTATGTAGCCTGAAGTTAGTGTCTTATATTTGTCCTTCTACAAAGAATTGCTGGCTGGTTGCGATGGCTCATGCCTATAATTCCAGCACTTTGGGAAGCCGAGGCAAGAGGATTGCCTGAGCCCGGGACTTTGAGACCAGCCTAAGCAACGAGGCGAGACCTTGTCTCTACAATAAATTAAGAAATTAGGTGTGGTGGCATGCTCCTGTAGTTCCAGCTACTTCGAAGTTTGAGATGCAAGGATTGCCTGAGCCCAGTAGTTGCAGCTGCAGCCACCATGAACATGCCTCTGCTCTCCAGCCTGGGCAACAGAATGAGACCCCCAACTCAAAAGAAAAAAAGAAAAAGAAGAATTGCAGTAATTTTATCTGGCCCATGCACAATCCACAGATTCCCAAAGGGGAAGGGAATCTTCTTTGTTCTTAAGAATGTACTAGCTCAGTTTGCTTTCTTGTTCAACCCTTCCAGAGTTACCATCTTATCAATCTATCGTGAAGCAAGTAAAGATATTTTCTTTTTTTTTTTGAGTCGGAGTCTCACTCTGTCACTAGGCTGGAGTGGGATATTTTCATCTAGTTTTAGTTCCCTGTTTGCTGAGAAAATACCCAATAGTCTCTCTGCTGTCTGTACATTTTAAATGCACTGCATAGTTAAAATCGATCTACATTTTGGTGGCTCGTGAACAAAGTACATACCTTTATCATCAGCTTGACAGCCTCCACGGTTTCATCTGCTGAAACATCAAACGATTCAAACGATCCTTCAAAGCCTATGAAAATCTTCATTGCTCTATTACCTTCTCAAAAGAAAAAAAAAAGGAAACTTGTTTTCAAAAGTCCTGCTGGATAGCTGGCAAAATTCCAATTCACAATTATAGACAAAAATGATGGACAGAGGCAGTCACTGTCTGGCCTTGAAGGTAAGTTGAAAGAATGCGAAGAGCCTAGTCCCACAGTTTCACAGTGTTAGACAACACAGACAGCAGCTGCATTGGAGGCAATGTTTCTCCACTGAAGGCTGTGGTCAGCAGACACCCTGTTCCTATATTACGGAAACCAGCAAACTTGACAATGGCCGAGGCAAGTGTGAACAAGCTTCCAACATGTAACACAAAAATGCTGCATGTAAATTGCACTTTTGTGATGTAGCTACCATTCGTGGACTCTTGAATTCAGATTTACTCAAGTACAGTTGATTGAAACACTCTTAAAAATAGATCTTTGATTGGAATGCACTAGCATAGGGTGAGGCAAAACAAGAGTTGATTTCATTGAATGTGATAATCCTGAAAGTTCTCTGTAAATAACTCCAAGCGGAAACTTTCTGGTTTCCATAACAACTCTGTGTACTTGTTTCCTGGCAGTATTTCTAATCCTGCCACGGGATACAGAACAATGCCCACTTGCACCATGGAGTTGAATGTGTAGGCTGAGGACTCTGTGACTTTCCCTTCCCATCTCTGTGTGATATAATCTGCTGAAGAGCAACAGAAAACAGTTGGTATTTCTCTTAGTCTTTGCCTTGATGTTATTTAGAACAATTTACTATTGTTATCTCCTTCAGCCTCCCTTAGTGTTAGTGGGAAATATTTCAAACTCCACTCCATTAGTGAGTGAATAATCTGGGCATGGTGGCACGTGCCTGTAGTCCCAGCCACTTGGGAGGCTGAGGCGGGAGGATCACTTGAGCCTAGGAGTTTGAGGCTGTAGTGTGATCAAGTTTGTGAATAGCTGCTACACTCCAGGCTGGGCAAAATAGGGGGAACCTATCTCTTAAACAAAGCATTATAGAAGAAAATACTCAATTTAGAAAAGAAAAGATAACATATTAGGAGTAAACTCAACAATAAACATGCACAGCCATGTAGATGTAAGAGTTGTATAAAATAAACATAAAGGCCGGGCATGGTGGCTCATGCCTATAATCCCAAAAATAGATCTTTGATTGGGATGACTTTATTTTGAGAGGCTGAGGTGAGAAAATTGCCTGAGTCTATGGGTTTGAGACCAGCCTGGGCAACTTGGCAAGACCTCATCTCTTCAATATATCAAAAAATTAGCCAGACATGGTGGCGCATGCTTGTAGTTCCAGCTACTTAGAAGACTGAGGTGGAAGAATCACCTGAGCCCAGTAGATTGAGGCTGCGGTGGCCGTGAGGGTGCCACTGCACTCCAGCCTGAATGACAGAGTGAGACTCCCAATAAAAAAATAAAAATAAAAGACAAATAAAATAAATGTAACAGGGGTGGTGGTGTGCACCTGTAGTCCCTGCTACTTGGGAGGCTGAGGTGGAAGGCTTGCCTGAGTCCAGGATGTTGAGGCTGTGGTGAGCCAGGAGTGTGCCACTGCACTCCAGCCTGGGTGACAGAATGAGACTCCGACACAAGAAGAAAAGAAAAAAAAATTCACAGCTAATAAACATAAAAAAAAGACTTGAACAACTGGACAGGCATACTATAGCCTTGGAAGCAAAGTTCAACATCATTAAAGTCATCAGTTCTTCCTAAGTTAATCTATAGATTAATTTTATCTCAATAAAAATACCAATAGAATATTTTTGTTGTTTAATTTGACCAGATGGTTCTAAAATTCATGTAGAAAAGTAAACAAGCAAGGATAGCTAGAAAAATTCAGAAAAGTAATGAGGACCAATCACCTACCAGATGTTAGAATATATACTGTAAGGCTACCATAATTAAAACAGTGTGTTACTGCACATGAAGTATCAGAAAAATCAGTAATAATAGTATAGAAATGGATTTGAATACATACAAGAATTTAGTACATGACAAAAGTGGCATCCAGCATCAGTGGGGATGGAGTAGGGAAATAAGATATAATATTCAAATAATAGTGTTGGATTAACCAGGTAGTTACCCGAAAAAAAATAATAAAAGTAGAGTCATACTTTTTAACCTTACACCAGGAGAAATTAAAAATTAATCAAAAATTTAAAAGTAAAAGATACGATTATGAAAACATTTGGGGTTTTTTGTTTTTGTTTTTTTAGTTGGGATTGCACTCTCACCCCGGTTGAAGTGCAGTGGCATGCTCACAGCCACCACAGCCTTGACCTGCTGGTCTTAGGAAATCCTTCCACCTTAGCCTTCCAAGTAGCTGAAAGGTGCGTGCCACATGCCCAGCTAATGTTTTTGATTTATTGTGGAGATGAGGTCTTGCCAAGTTGCCCAGGCTGGTCTCAAACCCCTGGGCTCGGGCAATTCTTCTTCTTCCTCCACCTCCCAAAGTGCTGGGGCTACTGTGCCTGGCTCAGATTTTTTATTTTTTAAAATCACCTTGAGTGATAGGAGCTTTCTAACTGTGACAAAAATTCCTGAGGCCACAAAAGGGAGAAGTGAAAAATTTAGTTATATTTTAAAAAATCTACATGACAAAAATCACTTAATATAAGGCCAAGGATAAATAAAGTGATAAAAATTTTGCAACAAAAAAAGATAAAAAGCTAGTGTAATATATCAAGCATACCCACAAAGACTATAACATGATGCTTTTTTTTTACCACAAAGTTGGAAAAGATCTAAAAGTTGGAGTACACACTCTTGTTGAGTCTGTTCCAATGATACTTTGTCATAGAGAGTGTGATGTGGTACAATTCCATATAACAGAAAACTTGGAAATCAATATTAAACTTACAAATGAACATATTCTTTGACCCAACAATTCCATTTCTAGGACTTTATCCTTACAATATATATGCCTATTCGCAAAAATGATATAGGTGTAACATTATCCATTGTAGAGTTATTTGTAATAGCAAAAGATTAGGAACATCTATCATGTTCATCAATAGGAGACTGGTTAAATAAATTATTTTTTATTCATACAATGCCATACAGCTATTAAAAAGAACAAAAATGGTTTTTTTTGTATCAGTATGCAAAAATCTCCAAGATTTATCATTAAGTGAAAAAAGCAAGGTGCAACACACAGAGTGTGGTATGTTACCATTTGTGGAAAAAAGGAGGAAATCATATTTATAGCCATAGATATTGGTATGCTGTTTGCATATACCTCAAAATTTCTGGAACTATATGCCGAACATTAGGAACATTGGTGCCTATGGAAAGGAGACTTGAGCATCAAGGGATCACAGATAAGAGCAATATTTTTTCACTGTATTATCTTTGTAAAAAAAACTTTATTCTTTTTTTTTTTTTTTGAGTTGGAGTCTCACTTTGCCCCCCAGACTGGAGTGCAGTGGCATGCTTCCGGTCACCGCAGCCTCTACCTGCTGGGCTCCGGCGATCCTTCCACCTCAGCCTGCAACTACGAGCACAAGCCACCACACCCAGCTAATTTTTTGATTTATTGTAGAGATGAGGTCTCGTCAAGCTGCCCGGGTGGGTCTCGAACCTGCAGCCTCAGGCAATCCACTTGCCTCGGCCTCCCAAAGTGCTGGGATTACAGACTGAGCCCCTGAGCCCAGCCAAAACTTTATTCTTTAGAAAAGTTTTAGGTTCACAGCAAAATTGAATGGAAAGTACCGAGAGTTCCCACATAACCCCTAAACTTACATATGACAGTATCCCCCACTATCCAAATCCTGAACCAGAACAGGTGAAGTGGTTCATGCCTGTAATCCCAGCACTTTGGGAGGCTGAGGTGGAAGGATTGTTTGAGTGCAGGAGTTCAAGAACAGCCTGGGAAACATAGTAAGACCTTGTCTTTAACCTCCATCCCCCCAAAAATAGTCTGGTGTGGCACGGTTGGTGTGTGCTTGTAGTCCCAGCTACTTGGGAGGCTGCAGTAGGAGGCTTGCCTGGGCCCAGAAGGTTGAGGCTGTGGTGAGCCATGATTGTGCCACTGTACTGAATCCAGACTCAAAAGAAAAGTCCTGAACCAGAATGGTTCTTCTTTTATTTTTTTTTAAAAACATATGATCGACCTATATCAATACAATTTTTTTTTTTTTAAGTGAGAAAGCAAGATTTATTAAGAGGACAGAAAATCTCCAAGTTCCCACAGTGGAAGGGGATCCAAGGGGGTTGCCTGATACATCTTTATCACTCGAAGTCCATAGATTACATCAGGGTTCGTTCACTCTTGGTGTTGGACAGTCTATGGGTTTATGTGTAATGACATGTATCCATCCTTATAGTATCATGGAGATCAGTTTCACTGCCCTAAATACAAGGGAACTTAAAAAAAAAACCTGGAATTTATTTATAAAAGTTTGTGTATTTATTCTTACATACTTAAACTTCGGTCATCTCTTCACAATACTCTGTCTGATGCAACACACCTATTAAGACACTTTTTCCACCGCTTAAAACAGTTTTTGAAGTTGTCAATTTTGATGCCTTGGAGTGCTTCTGCTTGTTTTTTTTGTTTGTTTGTTTGTTTGTTTGTTTCACTTCTTCCTCACCAGCAAAACATTTCCCTCTGAGGATTTTTTTCATTTGGGGAAACAAAAAACAAAAAAATCACTCTCAGGGAGAGATCAAGTGAACAGGGAGGATGGGGCACGGGGTTCCTGCCGTGGTTGGTTAAAAATTGCTGAACACTCGGTGTGGTGTGTGCAGGTGTGTTGTCATGGTGGAAGAACTAGTCACCTGTTTGCCACAACTCTGGACATTTCTTCCACAAATTGTGAGGCAACCCTCTCAAAACTTCTAGGTAAAAACTTTCAATGGCTGATCTGGAGGAACAAATTCCTAGTGTACCAGAAGGAGTCTACTCTCCAAAGAGAATTCTAGGTATTTTGAGGGTCCCCCCTTGTATCCTCTGGCCTCTGCTTATTTATTCCTCTCTTCCTTCTCAGCCCTCCAACGCTGGCAGTAACCTTCTGAAGGGCAACTTGGTTGCTTTCAAGTTTTGGAAATTATAAATAAAACTGGAATAAATATCCACATGCAGGTTTTGTGCAGACATAAGTTTTCAGCTTTTTTTTGGTAAATACCACAATGAGTCTGCATAGCTTTGTAAGAAACTGCTAAGTGACCTCCAGAGTGACTACCATTTCATTCTGACCAGCAGTGAATGAGAGTTTCTGTTTCTCCACATTCTCACTGGCATTTGGTATTGTTATTGTTTGTATTATCTTTTTATTTTTTACAATTTTGAGCCATGTGAATGATTAAATGAAATAAAATGGAAAGAAAAAAAGCCCAACTCACAGCCCTTCCAAGAAACCTTCTCGAATGCTCTTCAGGAAAGTTGACCTCTTTCTCTACTGCATATATATGTGTGTGTGTGTGTGTGTGTGTATACATACATACATATAT